GGAAGCCGACATCATTTTTCTCCATAAAATATCACTCTTCCGTTCTTGAAATATGATACTTTTTGATATTAATCATTTTCTCGAAGAACTGAAAGGGGTATCTTACCCCAAATGGTGGGAAAGACGCCGCCTGGCGTTGGGTAAGATGCCCCCTGCACTATAAGTGACATAAAGAGTTGAGGCCGGGTCGAGCGCTACACCGGCGAACCCCGGCCGCTGCGCGGTATTTTAGCATTTTGAGTGGGAAAAACTGTCGTGCGATTGGTGACTTTGTGTTTTCTGTGTTCTACTTCTCATCCTGCATCTGATTTCGTGATCACCTGACCTGTGAGTGAACCGTAACTGGTTTTATTTGCTGTTAAAAATTGTCGGTGCCCGTCGCTGGAGCCGCTGTCGTGAAGCCATCGGAAAAATTATCGAAGAAAAGAGCTCATCGCTACATAAAGACTTACGTATTTTTTAATGACGCACTCAACGGTGTAATTTTTAAGCGTCTATCTGCAGTCGTTTTCAAGATAATCATCAAGTTCTGCAGGACTATTTTCTCTCCGCCGCGCATGCCTTCAAGGCTCAAATCTCCCCCTCCCAACCGCCGTCGGTTGCCATGGTGACCAGCCCCTATGGGTCCCGACCGGCGCCCGAGACGCCGGTAGCCGGCTAACAACAATGCCGGCCGACCCTCGTCCCCTGCCCCGGCGGCCCGCTCGGCGCGGCCGTCGCGCGGGCTGGCGCGCTCGGCGCGCGAGGGGACATGGGAGCAGCGAACAGCTGACTGTTCCCGGCACTGGGACCCCTCACGGGTCTCGTCGTGTAGAGTGCCAAACACCTGACAACTATCGACGGGACGACCAAATTGCTCCTGCCTGTGCATACGACCTGGCATTTCTGATGGAGGTGCGTGACCGGCTTAACAACAACTCGGCTCGGGAAGTCGCCGAGACTATCCGGCGCAGTCTTCCCGCCCATGTCATCCGCCGTCATAATCGGCCACGCCCCCTCAGCCCAGTGGACGGAGCACATGGCCGGCCCGCTCGACAGACTCAGCGCCAGTCTAACCGGCCGACCGACCCGCCCAAATTACTCATCGGCTCCCTGAATATTCAAAGCCTGAAGCCCAAAATTCAGGAGCTGACGTTTGAGCTCAATCGTCACAACTACGACGTCATGCTTCTGGCTGAGACCTGGCTGCGCTCGACCACCCCGAACCGCCTCCTGGTCATTCCTGGATACACGCTTTGTCGTGTGGACCGCCCAGATGGTAGCGGTTACGGAGGTGTCGCAATTATCACCAAGGCTAAAATCACGTCAACCGCACTCAAGATCCCGGGCAGTGGGAGCTCTGCCAGCAGCCTGGAGTCACTGTGGGCGCTGCTAAAGCTTGAACAGGGCCGGCAGCTGATTATCTGCTCCCTGTATCGGCCACCCCGACACAGTGAGGCTGCTCTGCTTGCCGACTTCACGGACCTCGAGGCCCAACTGCAACGAGTTATAATCGATTACCCCAGTGTTCCGCTTGTCATCTGCGGCGACCTCAACTGTGATTTATTGAAAGAGCCTAATTTCCGCGCGCGTCAACACCTAAGCAGCTTCCTATCAAATTACTCATTAGATCAATTAGTGACCACTGCAACATTTTCCTCCGGCTCGCTCCTGGATGTGTGTATTGTTAACAACCGTGAGCTCGTTTGCGACACCCGTGTTAAATATTGTCACTTCAGTCCTCACAAATTTATCGATGTCGTTGTGAATGTGCCGAAACTGCGTCAAAAGCCCACTGTTATCTCGTCTCGCTCCTTTAAGCGTTTAGATCACCCTGCACTGCATCATGACTTACTCGATGTTGACTGGGATTATGTATTCTCCGCCGAAACCGTCAGTGATAAGTGGGATGCTTTCTTGTCTTTCTTCGTACCTGTTTTTGATGCCCATGCCCCAATTAAGCGTGTGTCTATCCGTAACCCGACTGCTCCTCCCGTCTCCGTCGCCACTCGTGATCTCATGTCCCAACGTCGCGCTGCGCTCCGCCATTTAGGCCGCAACTCGAGCGAGTACAAAAACCTTAACCGCTCTGTCCGGGCGGCTTTGCGTCGCGACCGGCGGGTGGAACTACAGAGGGAAATCGGGGAACGGGGCCCCAACAAAGTTTGGCAATGTATCAGGTCGGTGGTTGCCGGTAAGAAGGATGGTTCTGATGTTCAGCCTGACCTATCTGCCAATGACTTAAATTCTTTCTTTGTATCCGTCGGTCCTCGTGTCGCTGCCGAGATCCGAGCCCAAAACGCACCTACCAATTTGAATGTACGTCTTACCCGTGTTGGCGCATGCATTTTTCAACTTCGAGAAATCACACTTGCCGAGCTTGAGCGGACGATTTTCAGCATGCGTAGCTCGGGTGCTTGCGGTACCGACAGTGTCTGCGTTCGCATGCTGAAAGCCGGATTCCGAGCTATTGGTGGTGTCATCCTGCATATTATCAATACCTGCTTAATTCAATCCGATATCCCCGATTCATGGAAACATTCCATAGTTCACCCTCTGTTCAAATCCGGCAATCCTTCAGACCCCGCAAACTTCCGGCCCATTTCCCTGGTTCCTGTGATCATGAAAGTGGTTGAGCGCATTGTCCATCAGCAGCTCTACACCTACCTCTCTCACAATCACCTTCTGGCATCCTCACAGCACGGCTTCCGCCCCCGGCACTCTACTGAAACCGCGTTGTTGTCTGTCACTGAACGCATCCTGGCCGCCACCGACAGGGGGGAGATCTCAATGCTATGCCTTCTCGATCTTAGTAAATGTTTTGACGTGATAGACCACGAGCTTCTGATGCAAAAACTTATGCTGCACGGTATCGAAATTTCCTGGTTCGCTGCCTATCTTCATGGGCACACCCAGAGCGTGTCGTTGAAAAATGGGTCCGGAAGTAGAGTGCTGTCTCGGCCTCTTCCTAATACCATGGGTGTCTTCCAGGGCTCTGCGTTAGGGCCGTTACTTTTCACCATCTTCTCTAACAACTTATCGCTGTACGCGGGTGATGCAGTAGTCTTTCAATATGCCGACGACACCCAAGTATTGCTTAGCGGTCCTGCCAGGGACCTTGAAGTTCTCATCTCGCGCATGGAGGTTTCGCTCGCGTCACTCAACGAATGGTTCTGCGCTAACGCCCTGAAGGTCAACGCCAGTAAAACACAGCTCATTGTCTTCGGCAGTCGTCAAAATTTACGCAAATTGCCAGATTTCAGGGTATCGTTCCGTGACGCAGCGTTGCAGCCGTGCGCGCAGGTTGGGAACCTGGGCGTCACTTTTGACAGTACTCTATCCTGGGACGCTCACGTCTCCGAACTCAGCCGCCGGTGTACGGGACTGTTGATCGGTCTCTCCCATGCGCGCCACAGTCTCCCGGATGGCATCATTAGAACGCTCGTGACAGCACTCGTTATCTCACGCATCCAGTACTGCCTCTCAGTTTATGGCAATGGGTCCCAAAAAAATTTCGATCGTCTCCAAAAAAATTTGAACTTCGCTGCTAGAGTCATTTTCGGTCGCCGTAAATTTGCCCATGTCTCTGACCTGCGAAAAAAGCTCGGGTGGTTGTCCCCGCGTCATATGGCTGATTACCAAACCCTTGTTATCGCCCACAAAGCCATTCAGCGCGGCGAACCCGAGGAATTGGCAACCATGTTCGTCACAAACAGCGCTGTCCGGGAGAGACACTCCAGGCAAGATCACCTCTTTCACCTTCCGCGACCACGGCTGGAAACGGGTAGGCGGCGGTTCGGCTATCGAGCCGCTGCTCTACTCAACAGTCTCCCAACTCAGCTGTCGCAGCTGTCTTCCGCCCCCTTTGCCCGATCTGTTAAAGCCGCGATAGTGGATGGGACATCAACTGATCGTCGCTGACCAACGGGTTGGTGGGTGGGTGAGTTGTACCTGTGTTACTACGAAAGTGTCTCTGTCCTTGCTTTGACGTGAGTGAATGTGTGAATGCTGTGAATGTTTAGATTAGTAACCGCGGATACGGATTCTGAGCAGTAATCGCCACGCACTTTCAGAATGTGGATCGCTCATGATTGTTCAATACAATACAATACAATAAATCAGGGCACGTGAATTGTCTGAACGAATCAGTAGTCCCTTCGAGCCTGCAGTAAACACTAAACGCCATCGTAAGGGCCCTCAAAAGTAGTCGTGAGGGGCTTCAGAGGTCATCGTTAGGGCCACCAGAGTCCAGCGCGACCAAACAAGCCTCCGTGGTGGCATTCGGAGAACGTTGTAGGTCTTCATGAGTCTTGAGGGCCCTCAAGCCCATCGTGGGGACCTAAGATGCCAGCGCGGCCGGTGGATCCAGCGTGGGAGCCCTCAAAGGATGTCGTGAGGGGCCTTGGAGCTAATAATGGGGCCCACAGAGGCCGTCTCGAGGGCTCTCAGAGTCAGATGCCGCCCAAAAAATCGTTGTGTGGGCCGAGAGACCGGCATGGGGAGCAGCCGACCGTATTGGGCTCTCAATAGTCCCAGATCGGCTTTTGCCTCTCATCACAAGTATGTACTAAATGATTCGACGGGTTGCTTGAAGAACAGCGTACGGATTTAGGGGACGTCTTTCCTCATCAGGGCAGGGGGCATCTTTCCCCAAGGTACCGAATTAACATTTAATCAGTACAATTTGTTAGCCCTAAAACTACATCCTAAAACAAACTGGTTGTGACAAAGTACACACATATTAAAGTCTTGTCCAGCCTCCATTTGCCCTGGAATCTCAGTGAATTTTAACAGAACGCCGAGCGATCGGCCCAGTAGTTTCGGAGATAGGAGGGGGGGGGCTCTAGAGAGCCCCCCCCCCCCCTCAGTCACTCGCGTTATGGAAAATACCCCAGTTATGTGCGGGTTAAGGGCTGTGAGTTGTCTGCTTTCTTGTGAGAATTTGGTGGTTATATTTCGCATACTTTATCTATCAAAGTGTCTATAAATGCATCGTAATGTTTTCATAAAGTCAGCAAATATTTTCAATCAATGTATTTGCATTCTCACTGCCTTACTGACAATTCCGTTCGGAACCAAACGGAACACCGCACACTCGAACGACCATATTATGAAAATTTATAAAAAGGACTCACACGCATCCACAGATCATGACGGAAAACACGAGAGATGAGAAAGATGACGGGACACTCCAAAACGGATAATGCAGAATTTCCTTTTACATAAAATAGAATGCATGGGACGCCAAGAAGACAATGATGATTGACAGTCGCTTTCACTTTTTCTCTCCACAATCCAACCTAATACACGCGGCCGTATCCGCCAGCCTGTCCATAGGGCTGAGGATGACGCGCCTGGCCCACATACTGGACATCAGCGTTGTATCCCGAGTAGCCGTCCACCCAGTACGTGACAATCTGTTTGCGGCCGTCGGGCAGATCCACCGAGTAGGAGCCCTCGGTGCGGTCCCCGAGACGGTTCTCCTGCGAGTCGACGTTGACTCCTGAGTAGACGTCCCGGACGGCGTGGGCAGTGCTGTAGTCAGGGACCGAGTAGTAGTCCTGGCCGGCCTGGTAGGCGTTGTAGCCAGAGGCGGCGGCGACGGCCACCAGCGCGGCGAGGATCAACACCTGACGAGAGAGATACAAATGGAAAGTCAAAGATCAGAAGAACATGGGCTAAACAGAGGGTAATAATTTGGCTACATGGCGATGCAACCTTTTATCTCTCGTAGATATCATAGGAGCGGCAAAATAAATGTCATGGATCTTGGGGCAGCTTCTTTCGTGTAAAATCTGAATTTTGATGTTTTTTTCGGCATAGATTTTATCGAAGTAATGTGGTTATGATGGCTGGCTAAAAATTATCACCACGGTTCTCTTTATAAACGGTAGACCTGATGAGAACTGGTCCGCAGCACAATACACGGCCATTTTGAATTATAAATAATAAATGTATAGTATTATGATGAAGTACATACTTTACGTTAACGGCTGCGTGACCAAATGAGAACAAACATTTAATTTTGTGAAAAAAGTCTGTAGAACCAATCGCGTTCGATGCGCACTGCACTGAAATCCAATCGCGTTGTTACATCACTCCGAAGTTGGCCGCACTAAGCCTCGTAAAACACGCTCAGTAACGCTAATCCCAGCGGCCCGATCACTTGCAACTTCACGATATCTCGCACGGTTCTCCTTCCACTTGGTTTTTCACTCGCCACCCACCTTCATGGCTGCAGACTGGAGGGTGGTTCAGTGGTAATGGAGCGGAGAGCGATCAGCGACTGTGACCTCAGCAGCAGCGCTGGCCTTTTATATCAGCTGGAAAGGATGGTCCTTCACCGATCCGGTGCAAGACTGGTTGCAAGTGCAGGCTAAGACCCGCCTTCCCACACTGGGCCCGCCCACTGTCCGTCTCGAGCACACAACCCGTGGTCTGACGCCGAGAGCCCGGTGAGTTTTTTACTCAGCGTGATCATAAGATTAAGTTCATAAGGACGGGAATGCCATTGATATGATAAAAGAACGGTGCATGCTAGCTGAGAGGTTGGGGTTGGGACTTGGGGCTGGTGCAGAGCTGAGTAATTTTTGCGTGAGTTCCTGAGAACGACGCAGTGTGAACGCCGTGTCAAGGTCTCTATGTGAAAAATATAAAATTTATGTTCCTGGTAGTGCTATCGTGTAGCTTGATTGTCTTGTGATTGGCAACCGGGCTGGTTAAGTAACCAAATTTACAAGAAAAACATTTGGTAGAAAAACATTTACAATGTAGTGTAGTTTATAAAAAATCTACAGAGAATGAAAAGTGTTTAAATAAAACAAGCACTAGCGAAAATAGAAATAAAAGAAAATGTAATGGACCAGTAAAAGTTAAAACATAGAACTAATGGCAAATGTGGAAAAAATGTTGTACTCCGACAACATAATCTAAAAAACAGCCTTCTAACGGCCTTCCGTTTTTAAGAAACGCAGCATGCAGGAATACCGATCATGATTATGATAAATGGATCATGATTCGAAGAAAGCAACCGATCACATGTAATCGCCGTAGAAATGGATCGGCGATTACATCCTCTCATAGCATTTAATATCTGTCATCCTCTCATAGCATGGGTCATAGCATTTAACTGTGAACTCAGCCCGTGTGATGCGGCACAGCCTAGCTGACTAGCTCTCCAGGATAGCCTACGTCTCCAGGAAACTGATTGCCTATGAAAAGCGGAACATCATTATGTAGTCCATTGGCTAGTTACGGCCTCTGTAACGGCTTTGGCAACTGTACATACACGGCCTCGACTCCTCTCTCGGTGCACATGTTAAAAGGCTGTCTTTCGGCCTCTTCGGCTGCTCTAGAGCTTGCAACAGGTGTAACCCTTCAGTGCTCAACGCTCATGTCGCTCATCATATGCACGTTTCCGACTTCTATCATACGCCTTTCAATTATCATCAATGCGCTCCGTTTCACAGCAGGCTGTAACTGTCCTGTCCGCTCACGAACGTCTAACCACTACGACTTTCCACGATACACGGCGATATCGTTTCCAAGTCGGTCCTCGCTGGCAGCTGGCAGCCGTGACCAGCTCAAAGGGCTAATCTGATCTCCCAGCTCTGCAGGTCCCGTCATCAACACGGAGACAAAGAGCATTCTTTCAGCGCCGGCTCGACGTCGGTAGCCGTGGGGATCAGGAAATCCATGCGCTGAGCGGTATCGTGGGAATAGTGAGGTGCCGAGTGCGCAACCCTGCGACAGACCAGTGAACAGACCGCCCGGGATGGGTTATCTGGGTCTCGTTTCATAAAGCGAGTCCGTAACCTACGCCGGTTTTTGGTCTTGTATTGCAAGTGCACGTGCAGCGATAAATTTATTTCCCCTTCTCCCTTCTGTTCTTGCTTGCAAGATAAATAAATTCAACGATTTAAACTAACGTCATCGCTTCACTTGCACTTGCAATACAAGACCAAAAACCGCCGTAAGTTACGGGCTCGCTTTATGAAACAAGGCCCTGGGTCCAATGTTACGACAAGCGCCGTGAATAGGTTTGGTGGCGTGATGAAATTGTGATGCCTTAGACTGGTATGAACTGAAAAAGTTTTGTACAGTTTAGGGATGATTATTCCATGACGTAACGGGATCTACCTCATTGATTGATTCAAATGCATATTTTTCTAATTACAATATCAAAGATGAATATATCCTGCAAATATGACGAAAAACAACGCACACCGTGTATTATGGGACATTGCAAAGCCACTTTACACGATAGACACTTTGACCTTGAAGGCCAATGTGAGCTGGTTACGTGAGAAGCTGCTTTAATCGTTGTGTGAAACTGGGATCAGGTTTTGATGGCGTGCTTAGTCTAGAGAGGGACAATTCGTTGCTTCTTTTAATTTTTCAAACGAGCAATGCGTGTATTTCAACACATTCTCAAGATCTATCACAATCAACTATTGCATTGTTTTTATTTCATAGCCAAAGGAGGTAAGTCACATTTGTTAGGTGCGTTTGTAGTTTACATTGAGACGTCGTCCATTGCTGCTTGAGCTCTCATCTACCGTGCATTACAGAGAGTGTATGCATCTTGAAACAGTTGGCGATCGAAATGCATCATGGTACATCGAAGAAGATAATTTTAATTTTTCATAATATATATTATTTCGATTTTTAACGACCTTTTAAAGCGCCGTCATAGTTAACTTATATAATTTGCTTTTGATGTCACGATATTTTAAACCATCTTCTTCAAGAAATATATAAAATGTATTTGGTAATACCCGCAGTCAATTGTAGTCTCATTTTCATTTTGTTTTCTTTTACGTAGTACCTTTCAACTGCACCCCATGCTGTTAAAGGTCGTATCATCCGAGTAGGTCAGGGCAACTGACGCCATAACTCCAAATATCTAAGCAATCCCTGTTCTCGATTACTGTTGCAGCACATCACTGTCATCATCATCATCATCATCATGTATTCGTATGGCATCCGTTAAAACACGGCTTTTCAGCACAAGAGTCATTCCATATATGCACTGTCCTTAAGGCTAATGATCTAAAAACCTACTAAAATACTACGAATAAGCCATTTATACTCATTTTCTAAGAGATGCTGTTAAAATCCAAGTTACCTACAAGCGTATTTTAAAATAAGCGGCGGATGAGATCTATTCTATCTGGGTAAGACCAGCTCGACATTTCCGCATCCCCGCGCGGAACGCTACGACCGTGCTGGCGTGGCGAACCTCGTTCGGCGTCTCGTTCCAGCTCGCTGCTGCCCGAAACCCGAAAGAACGTCTGGCGAGCTCCGTGCGGACCCGCGGAAGTTGCAGCATTCCCGCCATTGATCCTCGCGTTTCCCTCTCGGTTACACAATCGCGACGCTGCAGCAGGTCTCGCAAGTGCGATGGTGCATGGACAGAGTTGAGGAGGCGGTGCACCATGGCGAGGTCACGTTCTGTGATGAGTCGCTCTACTCTCGGCCACTCAAGTTCAGTAAGGTGAGGCGTGATATGCTGATGACGTCGGCAGCATTTAACTATTCGTGCACCATGATTAATGGTCCATTGCATTCAACTGTCCACTGTCCATTGCAGTTTCAACTCTCAGCTTTCGAACGAAGCTTATTACTGCACCCCCCACCCCAACCCTCCCAGAACTTCTGCACTCACTTCCACACTCGGTCATTCTGCCTGCTATTACCCGTATTCCTTACTATGCGAACATTGAACAAGCAGCGATCGAATAATGTGACGCCAGATATTGCAAACGTCGACCCTGGCATTGGCTCTCTCACTACCGTGCGAGGAAAAGGCAGAGGAAACTGCGCTTGAAGTAACTACGTGACGTTCAGAGCCGTTGGGGTTTGATTGGTTGGGGTCACACGCGCGGGGTATGCATGCGCGCGCTGTGAGGTGGGGGCGGGGGAGGAGGAGGGGTAGGAGTGAGTGGCAGGCGGGGGTGGGAGCGAGGGAGGGGAGCTGACATTCCGTTAGCCGGAGGAGAAATATCAAGGAAACTGGTGCTCGGCTGCACGCTATCTCATAGCCATTTGATGCTGAGATAGAGTCTGGGTCTGCCGCTGCGCTGACTGGCGCCAGTGCTGACACTGACATTAGCACTGGCAGTGACAGTGACACTAACACAAGCGCTGACACTGACACAGACAGTGACACAGACACAGACGCTGATGCTGACATTGGCAGTGACACTGCACTGGTGAGGTCACCTCGGGCTTTGATCGCCACACTTGTGTGTGCTGGGCTGACACAGACTGTTGCCTGGCCGTATCTAACTCTGACACTGACACACACACACTGACACTGCCGGTCGACTGACACCAATGCCGGTGCTTCAGGTCGCGTCAGCAACAATGCGTTTTTCAGCTTATACCAAAAGCATGATGCAGAATGCGGATGTATCGAACTCCAGTGTCACTTTGTCTTCACCTCGTGCTCGCTCGCTCCATTTGTTTTTATGGAGTACCCATTCAACGTACTAGGTGTGCTTTTGTAGCTTCAAATGCATTACATAATATAAATTTGATTTCATTTTTAGTAGGTTCTAAGCAGATGCAATATTAAGCAAAAGGCCTTGCCTCCAATTGATTTGATTACAACTTGAGCTAATTGCCATTACAACTGCGAAATGCTGATTTGAGTATATGCCTCGGCACGGCAACTAACGTTGGTGATGATATCACCACTCCACCCAGCCCTCAGGCCTCATATTTTGTACCCCGCGGCCTTCAGCAATCACGTGCAGCAGGCGTCCCCGGACAAGCATGAGAGAAACGGCCCTCAGAACCGGAGGCTGGCTGGACAAGGAAAATCCGGTCTCAAGTGCGTCATGCTTCGTGGGTTGAGGCAATATCTTGAAGCCTTGATGTCGAACTCCTGGAGCTTTTAACAACTTGAACCAATATAATATAAGATATTAAATATAGGTAACTGGTTCTTAGAGCATGTCACACGGAGAGACGAAAGCCTTATTGCCTAAGATGCCGAGGCATTTGTAATTTTTTAAAGGCACTTTAATCGAAGCAAGCGATAAATTTGACTGACTGATCTGAGTAATTCGTATTCGTTTCGGGCTACACTGAGGTAAAAAACGGTTACTCAGTAGCGGCGGAACACCTTCAATTAAGTGGGGGGGGGGGGGGGCACTGCCGACTTTTGGTCCCATTCTTTCCATGCAACGCCCATAGGGCTAATGTTAAAAGGCCAAAATCAAAGGGGGGCACGGTGCCCCGGTGCCCTCCCCGTTCCGCCGCCTATGCTGTTACTATACGAATTACTATCATTTACCTGAGGAAGATTAGAAAATGACACTTAGTCAATAACTGACTGATCTTGTGTGCTCGCTTTAGAAATAATAAATGAAGGGGGTTCGGCATGATCATATAGGTACATACATATCTATCGCTGAACAATGACCACATAATGCTGCCTTGTGACGGAGGTTCACTTCATTTTACATCCTATTCCTTTCTATAGCATTCCCCCAACCTGGCATCTTATCTGCTATGCTGTAATCAGTAATGCTGCTGACCTCAGGTTGGTTTTATCTGAAGATAACTGGGATATGTATGCGCTTTTGAACATCGTTCGCTACAATAGTAACAGTTTTTAGTGATAACAAATAAAAAGCACTGGTTCCTTCAAAGTTTTGGCGGTATCATTATCATTTCTTATTAATGTACTTATCTTATCGTTTTTGCTTCTATTGTTTGCCACGGAATAGCTGCAGGCAGCCCATTTAAAACGTCTTTCATTCATTCATTCATTCATCCATACATTAATGCATTCATTCATACATCGACACATGTTTCAGTCTCTCATTCATTCATTCATTCATTCATTCATTGTTCAAATTCATTTATTCAGCACGAAAATTATTGATCATATGTAGTTCACCGCGGAACCAAGTAAACTTCCCGTTATAGCTCATAAACATACATATATAGAAAGAAAAAAAAAATGAATTAGTGCAAAAACGATGATCGAACTAAGAGTGACTCGTTTTCTCAGTAATTTGCATCTCAAATGTTTTATTAAGCTTACTAGACAAATATGTGGCGGCATATATTATGACATGAGTCGCGAGAGATTACTGAGTGAAAATTTTCGTGTTCGTAGAATGGTTACATACCATTCTTTCACCATGCATAGGGCAGTGAGGTGCTTTATAAAAATAACATATGTACAATCACTCATTCCTTTAATTATGACGAGCAGTGCTTTAAAACCCACTCTGATCACAGGTGACCGCACAAGTGGCAGCTGGGCGCACTTTTCGACAATGCAACGGCCCAGCCCTCACCAGCCATTCCTCACGCGACTGTAACAAACGCCGGAAGCGACCCAACCATAAACGGGCGTGCCGTTCGCAGTGTTCCAGCCGTATTCAACAGGGCTGATCCCAGTCGTGATATTTATGACCAGGAATCTTAGAGGGATAAATTGCGCCGGAATAAACGCGTATTTTACGGCGCCGGCCGGTACCGATTTCCTGTTATGTGAGGGAGAAATAGAGCACTGGGAGTGATTCAGAGATATGGAGCAGTATATAAGTGCATGTACTGGGGGTAAAGGCTGTCACTCGACCAAGTGAGCCCTTCTAGCAGAGCTGCCACCAGCTCACAGCCGCACCAAACAACCATGAAGGTGAGGGACGCCAGGAGACGATTCAATATTCGGCTAATAACTCCACATTAAAATGCCTTTTGTCAAACATCGTGCGTTCTTTTTCTTTTTCAGAGATGACTGCGGTTCTTTGATCAGACACAACAAATGTTCGAGCATTTGTCAGTAGTCTGACAGCGTAACTCAAGCCAATGCGCAAAGGCTTCGGAGCCTCATACATTCTACCCGTTACGAGCATCAAATGAAAACAATATATGTCCTGTGCAGGCTCATTGAACAAATTTAAGCAATTGAACAAGTAAAGGAAGTTTGCAAGACTTCTAAATTACCTCCGAGAAACATCCCAGCATATCTGACCGGCTGCTTTCTCTTTGGCAGCTCTTCCTTCTGTCTGCGCTGCTGGCTGCTGCTGCCGCCCAGTACGGACCTACCCAGTACGGACCAGCCTACTACGGGCCTGCCCAGTACGGACCTGCCCAGTACGGACCAGCCCAGTACGCTCCGTACACTCCGTACGGAGGAGGGATCCCTCGGGCTCATCCGCCGCGGCGGGACTATCACTCCGTGCCCGACTACAGCTACGGATACGGGGTCAGTGACCCCGTCTCCGGCGTGCACAACACCAAAGAGGAGACCCGTCTCGGTGATCGCACCGAGGGCTCGTACTCGACGCTGCTTCCCGACGGCCGGAGGCAGATCGTCACCTACTGGGTGGACGGCAACTCGGGCTACAACGCCAAGGTGACTTACGAGGGCGTGGCTCAACATCCACCAGCCAAACCTGTGGTCCACACACCGGCAGTGCCGAGCTATGGTGGTCTTGGACCCGGCCAAGTCTACTGAGACCAAAGCGAAGTCGTTTTAAACCAGCCTGCACGGACCTGCGTTTCGTGAATTTTTAATGGGACGGTGGATCTGTGTTTCGAGTCGGTGTGACCAATGCTAGCTGCACATGGAATTGGAAAGCTAGCCCATTCGTTTGAGCTGGCAGAACTGACCGAGAATGGTGCGAGAATGCTGGTAACCAAAGGTGAAACTGATGAGGTAATGGTAAGAACCGAAGTGCCGTGTCGAAGGCGGCGAATTCCAGACAGAAAATGATATTTTGTATGACCTCCGCCAACTACCCGTGCCTGTGAATGTGTGGCAACGTGACAAGAAGTATGTTTGTCTGTGACTTTTTTTTCCTGTTCAACCGCGATCGCTATCATGCTTGGTTTGGCTCCGCGAGCGTGAATCAAAGTCCAGTTATTCAGAATGTTATCATACAAACGTTTGCCGGACAAAATCTCCAGACTGTCAATCCAGAATATAATAGTATGGCGTACAATGCACGCGGCATATGTATGACAGGCCTCAAGTGTTTTGTATCTGAAGTGTCCCAATTATAAGGTCAACGAAGGAATACACCAGTGAAGTGAACTCTGTCAGCGTGGACTTTAACGAGTAGGGGAGAGTGGGGAAAGATGCCCAGGGTTTTGCTATGTCATATATTATTCGAAAATGACGATGGGAACGCAAAAACTTGGAGTTTCAACGGAAGCCGACATCATTTTTCTCCAAAAATATCATACTTTCGTGCCTGAAATATCATAACTTTTTTTGCTATTAAGCATTTTCCTGAAGAAGTGAAAGGGGGCATCTTACCCCACAGGGTGGGAAAGACGCCCCCTGACGTTGGGAAAGATGCCCCCTGCACTATAAGTGACATAAATGGGCACGTGAATCGCCTGAACGAATCAGTAGTCCCTTCGAGCCTGCAGTAGACACCAAACGTCATCATAAGGGCCCTCAAAAGTAGTCGTAAGGGCTTCAGAGGTCATCGTTAGGGCCATCATAGTCCAGCGCGGCCAAACAAGCCTCCGTGGTGGCGTTCGGAGACCACTGTGGGGCTCTTATAGGTCTTCATGATGCTTGAGGGCCCTCGAGCCCATCGTGGGGACCTCCGATGCCAGCGCGGCCCGTGGGGCCAACGTGGGAGCCCTCAAAGGATGTCGTGAGGGGCCCTGGAGCCAATAATGGGGCCCACAGATGCCGTCGTGAGGGCTCTCAGAGTCAGATGCCGCCCAAAAAGTCGCTATGTGGGCCGAGAGACCGGCATGGGGAGCACCCGACCGTACTGGACTCTCAATAGTTCCAGATCGGCTTTTGTCTACATCACAAGTATGTAATAAATGATTTGACGGGCTGTTTGAAGGATAGCCTACGGATTTAGGGGGGCGTCTTTCCCCATCAGGACAGGGGGCATCTTACCCCAAGGTACCGAAGTAACATTAAATCAGTACAATTTGTTAGCCATAAAACTACACCCTGAAACAACCTGTTTGGGACACAGTACACGCATGCTAATGTATCACGACTATAGCAAGGGACGCAAAAATTATTTACCTTCTTTGATATTTACAATGTTCTGACACCAAAATATTTTTTGAAAGCAGCAAATAAAAAACATGCAATCATCAGCCAGCCATTGCCCAACTGAGCTTCGCAATTTTTTGTGCAGTTAACAAGGCAGGCTTCCGCTTTACGCTAAGAACATTAATTTCCAGGTCCGATTCTTTGTTTCGCCGCTAGAGGTGGCGGGGCGTCTTTCCCACCCTGGGCATCTTACCCCACTCTCCCCTAAGAATATCGTCTGAGTGGATTTTGCTGGGTACGTCGACCAAGCTCGTCGTTTAATATAATTCGACATAGACCACTCTATTCCCAAATATGTACAGTACCTATTTATGTAATATATGCCACACAGTAGTCTATGTTTTTATCATTCAATTGCATCTTGAGACCTTTAACACAAATGAGTGAAAACGTCTGCGTCTAAACAATGATTATCTGCAGTCTGCGTTATAAATGCTAGGTACTACGTCACATTCTCTGTTCATATATCCTAATCTGCCTTCAAAAAATGTCAGCCTCAAAACATAGGTCTCAGAGACAATGCCATTTTATTGCCTATTATAGTTGACATATAACGTGTCGCCGAGTGACAGTCATAGTAGAAATCCTTGAAGCCTAATGTAGACAAGACATCAATGGTCGTTTGGAAAGGAGCATTGCTTGAAGATGACACCACCCCAGTCCCCAACACAGAACGTCAACGAATATCGGCACCCTCGAAACAATTAGCATCTTTACCTGGCATGCCATACAAAAGAAATCCCTCATGCCATTATAATACCAACCATGCACGTTCATAACTCAAATCGCCCATGCAGCTGAAAGACAATCGCAAATGAAACAAGCCTCGTATGTGAGTTGTCGGAAGACACTCAGAAAACTAGCGCAGCGCTAATAAAAATGAAACAAAAATCATGTCAGAAATATAGCAATAATAACATCCCACCCTCATACAGCAAAAGCACCACTTCTTTTAATGTAATATCACATGCTTACTCCTATGAGATATTTTCATCAACTGAACATCACATCACATGTTTCTGGATAATTTCCTCTTCCACATAGTTGACTTTCCAGGAACTGCCATTTCCTCTCCTTTTTTTCTCCCCCGGGAGCATCAGCTCTTGTCTTAGTCCAGTCACATCCTCTCAGCGAATGCCACCTTTCACCTTCTGTATGGCAGCCTACAGCGAAGCACTTCATATTTACCACAGGTAATTACTTGTCATCTGCCACCGAATATGCCCTTACGCGAGTCACGACCATGCCCTCTGTCGTGATAAGAGCACATCTAGTTCTAGAAGTCTAGATGACGGAAAACCTTAATCATAGACGTGTTCACTTCTACTCCTATAACACCTTTCAGGCTTTTGAGGTGCCTTGTGTGTTCACAAGGCACATTTTGTGTGTTCACACTGACGCCATCCGCCTCCGGGGTCAATGCTACCCCTTTCACGATCCCAAGGTTTCCCTAAACCTTGTGCCTGACCTCAGCTTCTTCCAAATGCGCACTATCCTCCTTCGTACTTCCAAGAGACTTCTTTCGTGCTTCGCCACTCGCCTGAGGGTCTCCATCATCTTCAGGTTCTTCGTCAGAAGGCTGGGAGTCATCATCCTCTGTTGTGTCGTCCAAAGCGAATCGGTCGTAAACTTCTTGTAAGTAAGCTTTGCACTGCGTAGGCTGTTTTTTGACAGATGAGATAAAGTCGATTATCTCCTCGGCAGCTTCTTTCACAGCGTCCATATCCGGGCCGCTGTCGTCATCGAACAGCTTCACACTGCGAAGCCTGTGACCTTTGGGCCTCAGCAGCTCGTACACCAGCTCGCCAAAGCATACCAGCTCGCCAAAGCAGATCTGTGCATCCCGGGCTGCAACCAGGTTTCGGCGAATGAGCGCTGCCAGCAGCAGCAGGCAGACGCAGCGCCGCCTCTCGGCCTGCCTCCAGCAGTCGGTCAGTTCTCGCAGCTGGCGTAGGCGCTCCGCGGGGTCGTCCACCGTCTCCAGATGATGCAGCAGGTCTTCCCGCCAGAGTGTGTTTCGGTTGACGGGCGCGAGGCCACGCGACAGCCGGGTCAGCATGAAGTCGCCGAAGCTGACGGCCGTGCCGTCTCCGCGGTCTGACATCACCTGGCGAGCAGTTGGAGCGAGATGTGGTGTCACGCGTTCATGCTAAAATCAAGGAAATAACAGATGGCATATTATGACGATCGGACACTAGGTCGATATGAGATCGGAAGATCGGAAGCATGTGTCACAGATAGGTACGTGATTCCGCAGATGATCAACACAGGCAAGGCAACTGAGATTCTGCAGCCTTGTTGCCGTAGTGCTCCTCGCCTACGACCTACCTGGAGTTTGTCAAGCACTGCGCATGCGTCGGCGCAAATGTCGATCAGTCGCGGCGTCTTCAGCATAGCTTGGAAGACAACATCGACGAGTGCGTAGAGTCCGTACTCGGTTTGTACCGAGACGTGGCGCATCTTCTCCAGCAGGCGCGGCGCGTTCTCGCCGGTCAGCTTGTTGATGAAGCCGGTGAGCTCTCTGACTGCCCCCAGATCTGGGTGCTCCGAGCTGGAGGGACCTCGGCGACTGTGTGGAGGCGTCCATGCAGGAACACCTGCGAAAGAGCGCAATCGTATCAATATAAATGAAAAGAAATTGACAGCACTGGACAAGTTCAGCCATAATTACTGCATTACTGATCTGTGCACGGAAAATGCCGGTCTTATATAACAGTCTTAAAATTTTCGTTTGTATTCCAAACCACATCTCCTTTTAAACATCGCACTCCTCGACATTCACACGTTCGACTGCTGATCATGGGGTAGTCTATGGTTCAGCTGACGTTTTTTGGCAGTCAAACTATTTCGTGGTCATGAAACATGCTTTGGGAACCTAGTGCTTCAGTTCTAGAATCTGATGTACGGGTTTCCCAGCTGGAAACGGCAGCTAGTGCAAGGTATTGGTAGCTCTTTAGGGCGATGAACTCCTAGAGTCATGGCGTTATGAAAATCATGGATGTTGCGACATACACGATTTTCCTACTGCAGTTCCATATGTCTTACAGCAATGAGCAACGAGTCCTGACTTCACAAACGAGTTCATGAACTGAATTGTAAATGAACCAGCGGGGCCCTCGCCGGACGTGCCACGATCTCGTCCTCCAGTGAGCCAGATCGGGTGATACGCCACCTGCGCTGCCGCTGTCCTGTCGTCTGTTGTCCAGCCACCAGCGGACCTCCTCCTCGACAGTGTCTGCCACCGCGTCGACCAGGCTCATCACCTCTTCTCCAGGCTCGGTGATGGCATCGCCTAAAGAAGAGTTGGCAGGTAATCTCACTGCTTGGGCGAAGCGAGCACATTATCATACTTGTGAATGTAAGTATGCATTTCGACTCACGGTACATCCGCGGATTTACTGACTCAAACACAATTACAAGAGGCACGGACGCTGGTCAATAATGGGCACATGCAGGCCTTGCATCGACTGAAAGTGACATAAACAGGATAAAGTAATCATGAACGCAGTCTGGAAGAGCGTAAGCACAGACAGAAAAGGCAAAAGCCACAAGTGAAAGGGACACCAAATTAGAGAATCACTTACCGGAGCTGGCGAAGCCGAATAGCATCATCATCGGCACGTGGATCGTATCGACTATATCCAGCTGCTGCAGGGGCTGGCCAAGCACCTCGTTCACGCTCAGGACCGTCTGGTACACGTCCTGCAGCTCGTTCTGAAGGTGCATCGCTTTCCGGTCGATCCGGCCTCTCGACAGCTGTGCCAAGCGCCATGGCCAGGCTCGGGCTCGCCACTCGGCGGCCGCTGAAGCGCTCAGGCCCAGCGATGAGGGCGGCGTGTCGGCCGGCATCATCGCCAGCAGGGTCAGCAGCACGGCGCGCACCTGACCTCGCCCGCTGCGGGGGTTCGTGACGCGGCGCCACTCGACCAGCGCGGCGGCCGGCAGCCGCAGCAGCTCCGGCAGCGCGTCCAGCGTGTTCGGCCGCAGCCGCAGCGTGCCAAGCGCCGCTCGGAGTCGGCTCTGCTCGTCTCCCAGCAGGACGCGCTCCAGCAGCGGCGCGCGCCACGTGCAGCTGGCCAGCAGCTGGTGATTCTCGCCCCTGTAGACGGCACCAAGCAGCACCAGCGGCTGGGTCGGAGCTCCCAGCAGCGCCGAGAGTCTCGCCTGCAGCGGCACAGCCGCCATACGGCTGAACGGAAGGCCGTGATCTTCCACCAATGGTGACATTAGTATTGGCACATTGTACACGGCTCTGAGACAGCTGGTGCGCACGGTACCGCTAGCTGCCGCTTGTCGCAGTGCCGGCGGATGTGGGAACTTGACCCAGGCGGGAACGGTTTTGGCTGCGGGTGGCGTGGGGTCATACAGTGGTAACCTGCGGTCAGGGATGGGTGGGTCAGAAGGGGCTGGATTGGGGTCAGTGGGGGCTGGAGTGGGGTCAGTGGGGGCTGAAGTGGGGCCAGTGGGGTCAGTGGGGGCTGGAGTGGAGCTGAAGTCGGAGGGGACTGGAGTGGGGTCAGTGGGGGCTGGAGTGGGGCCAATGGGGGCTTGAGTGGAGCTGAAGTCGGAGGGGACTGGAGTGGGGTCAGTGGGGGCTGGAGTGGGGTCAGTGGGGGCAGAAGTGGGGTCATAGGGGGCTGAAGTGCGGCCAGAGGAGACTGAGGGAGCCACGGGAGCAGCTATGTCGCACAGCACCATCCCTTTGGACAGCATCATGGTTCTGGCGTCCCGGAGAAACTCGAGACTGCTCTTCTCCTGGCAGCTCACGATTCGATGGATTTGGTCTTTAATCTCGCACATCAGCCATATGGGAAGTTGGCAACTGCCAAGCACCTGAAATAAAGGTATGCTGTCAACAACCGTTCCTTTTTAATTTCGTTGGCTATCGGATTTTGTGCCACGCTCCTGAATGTATGAAGTAGATGACATAAACAGAGTATATTTAGCTGCTTTTGCCCGATTTCGCATGCCGATTTATACATGTAAAGTCTATGACGCGAATTTGCACTTTTTGGGCACGCGCCACGCGCTCCCTATCAATCCGATCGAGTCTAGACCCCTCAAAGGCACGTCGCGCAGCCTTGATCTATAAGTTGTGCAAATTTCACCGCGCCAGGTGCAACGGTCTGGCCTGTAGTCCACGCAAAGCACCACCAAGTCGGGACCTCGGTAACGGACAGACGCACCCTCCTCAAATAGTAATATAGATATGCTCATAGGTAGGTAAAATAAACAGAGTATATATGCTCATAGGTAGGTAAAATAAATTCCAGGTCATCACATCCCTTGGAGGAAGCACAAGTCTTATTTTTAGCATATGCCGGAGTATGTCTTTAGCATTAGCGCGAGCGTGCGGTAAAAGCTTTTTGGATTAAACCGCATAATGTTGAAGTCAATTGAGCAAAGGTTTCGGCCCATGGGCAAAACATTTTACCAGCGAACTTTTGAAGCATTTCCTGAGACGGAGGAAGGCGCTGGAAAAGAGCTTAACTGATATAAATCTAACGTTAACTGACGTGTTGCATTTGGTCGCTTTGAACTATTGAAGAGATTGTAAATGTTGGTTTTCAATAAGATAATATTTTAAATCTTAATGTACTGCCAGATTAATTAATCACCTACTGTAGCGCCAATTTCATGCCTTTTACAAGTGTAATGAATTGACAAAAAAAAAAACGCATTTCACATTGATCAGTAAAAACTTTATTCATATTGACATGGGTAGAAAACCAAGCGCTCACTTCACAGGATTGTAGGTATACCTTCCACTCTTCTCTAATATTGAAAACGAACGTTACTCTAGCTTCTCATATGACATAGATTGAAGTAGATGTTCTTGGTTTGATAGAAATCCAACTCACAGCCAGACACAAGGATGAGTCGGCTTGGTTTATTATCTTGGTCAGGGAATATGTACATTTTTTAGTTCTTGATATTCGGTCTTGGTTTTTCCACTTCTTTCAAGCATGTAAAATTGTTAAAGAAGCTTAAATATGGAAATTAAACGGCATATGCTAAAATAAATATCACACTTGGGCCGGAATGTTTCGTTCAGGACCTCGGGCTTTGTTGAATTTTCCGCCCTCGACCTTCGGTCTCGTGCGGAAAACTCAACAAATCCCTCGGTCCTGAATGAAACATTTTACCGGCCCCGTGTGATATTATATAAGCTCGACTCTCGCTGTAAACATCTTTTTGAGTACAGCACGAGAATTGCTACCTGGAAAGAAAAGAAAGAAAACTGGTTAGCGCTCATTTCATTGAAGATCAGGCCCATGTCGTCCCCTATCTCCCTGTGTGTCCAAGTACACAGATGACGTCACACGAAGGGGCGGAGTCGGGGGCGGAGCCTAGCGCAACGGCCGCCATATTTGAATTTGTTTTATAAGAATGTAATCTATATTTTGGTTTTCAGTCAATTGTTATCGATAGTTTTATGAACGTTTAGCTGTAATATAAGTAATTTTTAAAGAAAAAACACACATTCTGCTTGCAATTTCGATTTGAGTCCGACCCGCGCCTAGATTCGAGCGCACGACCTTTGGCTCACGGTGCAAGCATCCTAACCACTACACTACCGCGGCGGCGCAGCGGCCGGCGGAAGGGAGGCTGCGGAGGCATGGGGACTTTTCTACGCATTTTCGGAAAAACTAATGGGTTTAGTGAAAAACTGCTCTTAGATAATTCAAAGAAAAATGTCTCGTCTTTCCGATGATGCAATTAGTTTTGTGCTAGCTCCAACAGAGTTTGTTCTACAGCGCTTCAAAAATCGCCCATTTACATGGGACTCAAACGGGGCTTCAAGACTTGCCCCCAGATGACGTCACAAGCTGACGTCACGATCAGGTAGAATCGCCGGACGACCCTACCTGGTATATAGGGCCTTGATTGAAGATATGAATAATATTTTCGAAATGAATTTTGAACACCGGTGATGAACCGCTATGGTAAACGCCGTGCAATTTATTTGCGTTTGCCGAGTGTGTTTGAGTGTGTGTGTGGGCCGTGTTTTTGACCACTTCTGCCAGTTTTTTTTTGCGTGTGTAGGGAAAATCGCGGAGCGCAGCGCCGCGAAACTTGGTATAGCTCATGATACATCAATTGCGCATCGTGTGTGCAAGTTTTGACCCCAGGTCACATAAAGTCAGGTCACCAGGTGAAGTAAAGTGACCATGCCTCTAAAAAACTTTGTCATTCAGTCATTCCTACAATATAAATCCCAGAAGCTTTTAACTCGGTCTATTGCATGATGGAATCAGCACCAACAATTTTCATATCTCGGAATTTCGATATCGTTGACCTTAGGTCAGGTCAATTCTGCGCCCTTACCATTATAAGTCAATGGGGAAAATTGAAATGCTCTTTTTTTCGCCGAAAACACCCTCAAACATTGGAAAACAGGTGAGCATGACACATTGAACCGGAAAATTGCACTTGTGACCCGTTTTATTCCCCTGAGGTCATCTCAGGTCATGAAACGTCTCCAACAGTTTTTTGAATATAACTTAAGATAGAAACATGCTAGAGCGCTGAAAACATCACACATGTATTCAGCTTTACAATACGGATCGAGTAACATGCAACATGAACTTTTCCGTGATCTTGACCTGAGGTCAAATTTTTATCTTGACATTTTCAGGTCAATTATGTGTTCATTCGACGCGTCTTGCCAAGACAAATGCGATGCCGGTAAAATCAGCGTCCTATGAGCCTGAAGTGAAGTTATGGTACAAAAACCTTTTCCGCAAAATCGTCAAATATTGATAGTTCTTGCCCTCTGGAGGCTAAACCGTTGACCTTAGGTCAAATCTGAGAACATACTACAAAGAGCCTATGTAAGAGCTATCGAATACGCTTTTCCGCATCGCTCTAGCTCTATTTGTTCCCTACGTATGCGCCGATTTGTGAAGTCAAAATCGGGAATTCAAAACAATTGTCAAAGTCGTTGAAATTTTACCTATGATGACCTCCAGTGACCTCAGCGATGACCTGATCAGAAAATGGCCTTTGTAACTCCGAAAGCTTATGTGGCGAGCTATATATTGCTTTTACTGCGTCTTTCTAACTTGATTACTTTCCGAGAAAACCTGGTGTAGCCAAAAAAGCCACCCCCTACCATGGCGAAGTTGGCTGATAGGTCCTTCCGGGCGCGGGCTAATAAGTTCAAATATGATTCCTGACAGTACAGTCAATCCATGTGGGGTTGTAAATTTAGGAAAATACGAGCTGCGAGTCTGGAAAATAGGACCTATAGGAAGAAGTTTGTTAAACAAAGTGGAACGTCTCTTAAATCAATGTGCGCCAACCAGTTTTCTCAGAAGTTCAGCTGTCAATTCTATTTGACATGTTTTCTTTCTGCACGTGGCATGTGCAGTGGGGTATGAACGACATGCATCAAGACTGAGAGTATCCGATGTTTTGAAGAAGACATGCAACTGCCTACAAAATGCACCGAGTGTTAATTGCCCCAGCAGTTTTCAGGATAAAGGCCTCTTGGCTCTTAAAATTGCCACTTCAGGAAAACAGCTCGAACACCCCTAAATGTTCACGGGGCACGTCCCACGATGGACACCTAGATGCATCATGAGTAGTCAATTACGGGGTAGAAGAGATGAGACTCTCTAACACAAAAAAGACCGCGACTTAATCGGCTCAGCGGTTGTTGAGATATCAGCCTCTTAAAGGCGTTACAGACCTGGCCGAGTCTGGTTAGGTTGGGCCGGGCTGGGCCAAGCCACTCAAACTGAGATTTCCCCGTTGTATTTAAAAAACTTACTTCGCGCTCGCTCGTAACAACGTGTGTTAACCCTCGCCCGCACATGGGGGGGGGGGGGTTGCCACCCCACCCCCCAGGTAGTCTTTCTGCTCTGCACTCAACATTTTTAGAGCTAGAAGGCTGATTTTTTCGTATAGCTGCTCCTCTATCCTTTCTGGATGTCCACTGAAAATTTCAAGTTTCTGTAGTTTTTGGTTTCGGAGATATGACCTTGTTTTTCAGGTCATGTCATGACCCAAATGGCCAATTCTCAACATCTTGTGTTGGCTATGGGCCTTGTGAGCTTCTGACACCTTGATTTCGGCCTCTTTTGCCAGTCTTACCTCCCACCTATCATGGAACATGTTGTTCGACGATGTACAGATGTCAAGGTCAAGGTCAAGGTCAACCTAGGTCATCTAAGATAATTGCGTTTTAGGCAAGCGGAATTTACTTTTTATGAAATTTTTTGACTGCATTTTTGGTAAAAGCTTCTCAGATCATGATTTCATGTAATATGGACACATAAACAATCGGTGCACACATCAGTATACACACAGACACACACAGACATACATACACATATAACCCTCGCCGGACCTATTGGTTTTCTACATACGCGCCGGCCGAGGGGGGGGGGGGGCGGGTACGACCCCCCCCTCGCCGTTTCGCCCCTGGTGGAGCTAGCGCGTCGCGGAAAAAACGAGCGTGTGCGCCGTTACGAGACGCAGAGATTGGTACCCGATTTTAAGGTCCTAGGTCAACCGGTGACCTCTGAGGTCAGGTCAAGTGCCCCAAGGTACGGTTCAGTTTTTGGTGAATAACTTCGCAAAAAACGGCCGTAGAGCCGCGATTTTGGCAGCATCGTGTTCGCCTCGCTCAGGCGCGTCGAATGGTATACTTTTTGTCCGGGTCAGGTCAACTTGGGGTGTTGACCTCAGGTCAAGGTCAGGTCAGCACCCCCAGGTCACGAAGTTGGTCGAAAGAGGTCATGTCGCATATCATTCGATTCGGCAGGCCTTCCTGAGTCCATTGGTGGCTTTCCCGACTCGCTAGCTCAATTTGATCAAGAGTTATTGACGAAAAACTAATATGACCTTGATGACGTCATAAATGACGTCACACAAGGTCAACATTGCAAAAGTGACGCATCTAACCTTGCAAGGAGTGCATCAAATCACGATTCTGCGTGCTTGAGATAGTTGGAGATCGTTCCCGGCGCCAGAATAGCAGTTTTCATTTTTCCCCATTGACTTATAATGGTGAGGTCACGAAAATGACCTGACCTCATATGACCTTTAGGAAAAATCCGAGATATACAAGTTGTGGGACTCATAATGGATACTAGATCCTGCAAGTTTCATTTCCCTGTGACATCTCCTCTGGCAGTGAGGGCGTTGCGAAGTTGCGACATCTGAAGACCGTGCAGAGGTTCACTTATGACGTCATAGGTCAGTGACCTGACCTGACCCAAAAATGCGGTTGGTGTCAAAAGATGCGGCTTGGATCAAAGGTCAGGTATGCCAAGTTTCAGCTCTCTATCGCCAGCGTGTTCGGAGCTATCGCGAAAAAACCCTATGGGGGGGGCGGCACCCGCCCCCCCCCCTCGGCCGGCGAGGGATAATTGACCTTGACCTAACTTGACCTGAAATGACCTCAGCAGCAAAAACCTGGTCGGGTAGTGTGACAAAGAGGTTCTAGCTGGCTTGGCACCAGAAAACGGCATCGTCATCGGTATATGATAAGCAGCGCTCTTGATATCCAGCGGTGACCCAAAACAGCAACATTTTTTAGTTTGACCTGACCTGGAAGGTCAATAACTGACCTGAGAAGGTAAAACTGGGTATCATTGGATTTGTCTCTTCCCAAAGAATCTTTTTGGTCCTTACCGCTAAGCTCTATCTCCAACAGGAACGAAATGGCGCGGGGGGCACCCCCCCCCCCCCCATGTGCGTTCTAGGATGGGAAAATGGCATGTGCGGGCGAGGGTTAAACCTTTTTCAGGGCAGCTTCCATCGACTCCTGGTCCGAGAGCCACCGCATCAGCAGGTCCAGTCGTCGTAGTTCCTCTCGCTCCACTGAATGGTACTGCTCTTCAAGCTTCTCGAAGAAGGCGTTGAACAGGGCTGGCGGAAGCGGAACGGTGCCAGGGATCGTCGAGACGAGAGGCAGCATCTCGGCGGAGATGCCGAACTCCTCCAGGAACCTGTTGAATCAAACAGATCAATTTTGTGTCTTAGGTATTTTTTGTTTTGTACGTAACTGGTTTGACTGAGACATCCTAGCGTTGATGAACTCTTAGAAATCTTCCCTCATAACCCGCACCGTGCTGGGAGGGGGGCGTTCTTACGCCCCCCTTAGGCTTTTCGCAAATATCTAAAAAACGGCGGCGCTGTGCGCCGCCGTTTTTGGTACATCTGTTCATACATCATTTCCGCACAGGTTGTGAAAATTTCAGAACCGAGTCGTTCAAGGTCAGGTCACCAGGTCACGCAAAGTGACCTTACCTCATAAAACGTTCAAAGGTCCGGTATAGCTACACCGACTGAACGATCATTTTGAAACTTTCAGCGATTGATATGAGTAGCAGTATGTATAAAATGTATATCTCGGATTTTTTTATATGTGATCTAAAGTCCCGTAGCTCAGTTGGTAGAGCGTTGGACTCCGCGTGTTGAGAGCACGCGTTCCTAGTTATAACAGTCCGTGTTCGAAGCGCGACGGGCGCTTGACATTTATGGACCTCCTGACAGGTATGGTTGCGGTTGCTGGCAGGTCGTAGCCAGGCGAAAAGTCAGTAAGGGGACCGGCCGTGCGCGGCTATGTGCGCACGTTAAACTTTGGACTCTAAATTCTACCATAGAACTGGAATTGCGCGATCGGAGGGTAGAGGGCAGGGTCACCGCAACAAGCTTCCCTTAGCGGTGGCTCTGTCCTTGTGAACCCTTCCTATCAAAAGGTTCGGGCTAAATTTATAAAAAGGTCGGGTCAATTTTGCGACCTTTCCATTATAAGTTAATGGGAGGAAATTGAAATGCGACGGGCTTTTTCATTTTTTCCATTAAAAGTCAATGGGAGAAAATTGAAATGCGCCTCTTTTGGACGAATGTCGTTCAAAACGCTCTCAAACATCGGTTCATGTACAAACATTACACACTGAATCGGAAAAATGCGCCTGTGACCCCTCTGTATGCCCCTGAAGTCATCCCACGTTATGAACGGTCACCAGCAGTTTTTTAGCTATAACATTTGATAGAGACATGCTAGAGCGAAGAAAACACGTCAGGTGTGTTCAGCTCGACGAAACGGATCGACTGATACGCAACATGGCCCCTTCCGGTCAGGTCGCTTACCTTGACCCGAGGTAAAATTTTCAAAATGACTTTTCAAGGTCAACAAACAGTTCATTCGACGCGTCTCGACGAGAGGAACACGATGCTGCCAAAAGTAATGTCATGGCTCTCTTGAGTCAAAAGTTATTGCCGAAAAATATTCTTCGTTAAAACTGCTATTTTTACAGTTTTTGCCCTCTGGAGGCTAAACCGTTGACCTAAGGTCAAATCTGAGCACATTATCCAGAAAGATCTGTAAAAGGGCTATCGAAAGCGCTTTCCTGCGCTGTAGCTCTATTGGTTTCCAAGTTAGCCGTTGGCAGTTTCCAAAATTATTTAAATGGACTAAATTTGACCTTTGATGACCTCTGGTGACCTGACCTTTGACCTGTCCTAAAAAATGACCGAAGTGCTTTCTTCCTTATTTTTGACGCTCTTTCGATTGCCGCTTACCGCGTGTCGCTACGTGGCCCAGGAGCCGAGTTAGACGGGGGGCGTGAAAACGCCCCCCCCCCCTCCCCAGCACTCGGCGGAAAGTTCAGGCCACCATCACGGCGCGAGATAATGTGTCTGTGTGCACTTTTTTCTCAGAAAGACGAAACTTTCAGGAAGTCAAAAAACTCCTGATTCTTTTAAACTTATGCAAGTAAGTTTAGGCTGCCATATCCCATCGCGGACGTGTCCGCGGCACCTCCGTCTTTTTTACCGTGTTTTAGGTGTCAGTAGTGCTCAGAAGTGTTTACCAGTGATCTGCACAAGCGTGAGTAAGACCCTAAAGGACTTCTACATCATCAACTCGGGCTTAGCTGCTCTGCTCTGATAATTATCGACCGTGAAGTGATCTGGCGACATTCGCCGCGTTGCGCCATGAACGTACTCCGCACAGCGTTTCGTCACCTGGCCGCCACGCTCGAGCGAGTCGACACTGGCGCCATCTCTGGAGGGCCGAGAGTGGCTGAGGTGCTGGCAGCGGACGTCGCGGCCATCCGGACGCTCGGCAGACGCGGCGGCTATAGATGGCAGCACCGTCAAGTGGCCCCGGAGGTGACCCCCAGCGCCGGCTGCCGCGTCATCAGCGGGCGTAGACCAGATCAGCGGCCGCGACACCGCGAAGACAGACCTCCCAGAACGCTGGTCTATCCTGCGGTCGTAAGGGACAATTACCTCTCGCAGGCAGAAGACCGGTGGAGAGATCACGACGGGGCAAAAACATTCAAGATCGGACACATCAACATCCGTTCTCTGGTACCAAAACTGGACGAAGTGAGACTGCTTATTCGTCAGAATGAGCTGGACGCACTCTGCGTCTCCGAGACGTGGTTAACGCAGAGTATCAGCAGCGACGTCCTGCTGTTCAGCGGCTTTCAGACGTTCCGGGAGGACAGGAAAGTCGCCAGACGCGGCCGGCGAGGGGTGAGGGGCGGCGGCCTGGCGGTCATCATCCGTGACGGCGTCGCCGCCTCTAAGCTCTCCGTCACGGCGACAGGGGAAGGCCGGCTGGAGACGCTGTGGCTGGCCGTGTCGGCGCCGGGCGGTCGCGCGGCTGTTCTGGGCGTGGCCTACCGCCCGCCCGACGGCCCGGCTGCCTCCGACATCGATGATCTCCGGCAACAGCTACTGGAAGTGTCCGCCACAGGGAAGCCCATCTACCTGCTGGGAGACGTAAATCTGGACTTGACTCGGCCTGACAAGCCCCAGGTCACCCTCTACTCCAGCATGATCGACGAGCTCGGCTTCGTCCAGCTTATTCGAGACCCGACCCACCCGGGGGTGACCCCCTCTCTTATCGACCACGTCCTTACCAATCAAGCAGCAGCCGGACATGAACCGACCGTCGTCAAGACCCACGTCAGCGACCACGACCTGGTAACCGTGAAGACTCGGCTGGCACGTCAGAAGAATAAGCCCCGCTGGATCGTCACGCGCTCCATGCGCCAGGTCAATTATGACCAGCTCTGCCTGGATCTTCTACAGGCCGACTGGTCCCCCCTCTACCGGGAAGAATCGACATCGATAGACGACGTCTATGACGCCTTCCTGACCATATGGAACACGGCGGTGGACAAGCACTGCCCACTCAAACGAGTAAAACTGCGTCACCCGGACCGTCCATGGCTGACTATGAGTGACGAGCTTCGGGACCTGCAAACCAGAAGGGACATAGCAAGGCGCAAGAGGGATGCGCAGCGCACAGCGGCCAGCGAAGAAGAGTACTCAGCTCTTAAGCGAGAATTCAAGAGAAAAATCGCAAGTGCCCGTGCTGACTTCTTCTCCGCGCCATCCTCCACGAAGGAGATGTGGAGCCAACTCCGTAAGCACGCGCTCGGCCCCCGTCAGAGGGCGGGTCCGGCGGCAGCGACAGACCCTGACACTGCAAACCGTTTCAACGCCTACTTCGCTGACGTGGGGCGCCGCATCGCTGACGAGCTGGCGAGCCGGCCGGCCCAGCGGCTCTCGCCGCGCCCGCCCATCGTATGCAGTTCGTCCTTCACCGTCCGGCCTGCCACGCTGCCGGAGCTCAGTTCTGCTATGAGGCGCATGAGTGGCTCCCGGGCGGTCGGAAGTGACGAGGTGTCGCTGCTGCTAATCGAGCGGTGTTTCCCGGTGATCGGCCCCCATGTGCTCCGAGTGATAAATCGGTCTTTTGTCACTGGTAAAGTTCCGAAAGTGTGGAAACATGCAAAAGTGATTCCTATTCATAAGGCGGGTGAAACGTCGCAACCATGTAACTTTAGGCCTATCAGCATTCTGAGTGTGGTGTCAAAGCTCGCGGAAAAACTAGTTAGCACTCAGCTTATCACGTATCTGACCGACAACCATATCCTGTCACCGTCGCAGTACGCGTACAGGCCCAATCACTCGACAGAGGGCGCGACTATCGATCTCGTCAGTAGGATCGCGGCGAATAGCGATGATGGACTCGTGACGTGTCTGTCATCTTGTGACCTATCCAAGGCCTTCGACTGTGTTGATCGTGACGCACTGTTCATCAAGCTCCAGTGGTACGGAATATCTACACACTGGTTCTCGGACTTCTTCAGCGACCGGACGCAGGCCATAGAGGGCGGCGGCAGCCTCCCGGTGCCGTATGTAGTGGTCCAGGGCAGTACGATCGGCCCCATCATGTTCAGTGTGTTCACAAATGACCTGTCGTGTCACTTGTCACATCACGCGTCACTCATAACCTACGCTGACGACTCCCAGATACTGCACTGCGCCGCGCCAACCCCGGCAGGTCTCACTGAGCTGCGTCTCAGGGCGGAGACCGATCTAGCCACTGTCTCTGCCTGGTTCACTTTAAACGGGCTTAAAGTTAATCCCACAAAGACCGAGCTCATCGTCTTTGGAACAGCAGCAGCCATCAAAAAGACTGATGGATTCATGATCAACTTTGACGGCATACAGATAGCACCAGCCCAGTGTGTCAAAATCTTAGGTGTGGTTCTGGACCGAGAGCTTACCATGCGTCAACAGACGAGCAGAGTGGTGCAGCGCTGCTACAGCAATCTCATCACCATCAGTAAGATCCGAGACACGCTGCCAAGAACTACCCTAGTACACCTCATTCGTGCCCTGGTCTTTCCGCATGTGACGTATTGTCTGCCGGCCTGGGCGCCACCTGCAAAGCAGGATCGCCTTCGCATGGAAAAGGTGGTGAACTATGCAACTCGCATTGTCACACGGAAACGTAAGTTTGATCGTATTTCTAAGACAAGACAGGAGCTCGGCTGGCTTACATTCGAGAACATGATCGACTATAGAGACTGTGTCCTCGTGCACTCACTGCTGTATCAGGAGAATGCACCGTTTCACCTAAAAGCACTAGCCACGTATCGCGCGGACATATCAGAGCGTAGTACGAGAGCGACCGCTGCTGGTCTCCTTCATGTACCGCGGGCCCGTCTGGAGCGAACTCGCTTGGCCGCACCCATCCGGTCGCTGAACACGTGGAACGCTCTCGACGAAAAAACGCGTGTCTGCAGAAGTGACTTTACCTTCAAGAAAAATGTGAAAAAGTCGATGCTTACCAAACTCTAGAGCACGCACACACCTACCATCATTTTAAACAAGAGTGTTTTATATTACATTGCGTCACCATCTTTTAGCCTTGTCATTGAGCTAGTCGTTACATGTCTTTTTTTTAGCTTTTTTAGGCATCACTCACGCCACTGCGTCCATGTATATTTTATTCTGTATATCATGGCAGCCGGTATGTGTATTTGTATGACGCTGTGGTGTAACAAGCCAATTGTATATTGGAAACCACAAAGATATGCGAAATAAATAATAAATAAATAATAAAGTAGATTTCGTGCTTTTTGTTAAGGCAATCGGAGGTCGGGCCAGTCATGAGCTGCATCGCTACCTCGATTGTGAAACTTCATACTTATGTCATATTTCGTTTTACCTGAGCTAAGCTACGTTTACGGTTATTTAGGATGAGTTTGGTTGGTATAATCTCATGCTGCCTCAGTCATCACCTTTCCGGATGGAACACGTCACAGGGCATGTAGAACCCCTTCTGTCCCGGCGGCGGGTGGCGAAGCTGCAGCACGGCCCTTTTTCGGGGTACCTTGACGGCGACTACGTTCATGGTCAGGTACTTGTTCTGAAATCCCATGATGGGACAGTCCAGTTTTCTGGCCAGCGCAGTGAACTCGGCGGTGGCATCGTTCAAACAGACGATGTGCGGTATCTCCAGTCGCCGAAGTACCTGTGAAGGTCCATATTATATCAAGGACGCCATTTAAAAGGGATATGTTCACCTTGAAAAAATGGAGTGGATAGTTCCAAAACACTTGAAAATGGTCTATAATACGGCCTAAATGGGTGGCTACAAGCCATAATTGGCCGAATTTTGATGAAAATGATGAAAAACTGTTTTCAAAATGATGACGTAATTTACGGTAGTGACGTCATATACAACACAAAGCCACCTTGTGGGAATGTAGCAAACTACAAGTCGCTTCAAGTTATGGTGAATTAACCCGGCAGGGGGTGGGCCTACCAGCCACCTTCCGCGCGGTGGGGGGGGGGCATTTTTTTGCCCCCCCCCCCCGTATCTCCAAAAGTACTGGACGGATCCGAAAAATTCAAACGGCGTTCGATAGCCCTGTCAAATTTGTCGAGGAAAACCAAATTTCATTGACCTCGGGGTCACCGATGACGTCACAGGTCAGGTCAAAGATAAAATGTTTCACCGTTCACGGGGCTTCTAGGGAAAGCGCTATAACACCGAGTAAAACGCATTTTTTCGAAAATCAGCGATAAGGCGTCAGTTGTCTAGCACATATGTTGCTATTAGAGGTCACTGGTCATACCAGGTCAGGTCACAGGTCAGGTCACCAAAGGTCACCAAGGGTCACCACATGAGCCCAACTTTACTTAAGTTATGCGATGCATGTTTTATGGCCAGTTTTTCATTTCCAACTCAATGGTGTTGGTTATAAGACCATCAGGTACGGTTTAGGTCACTTTCTGGTGGAGGTCAGGTCAAGGTCAGGTCAAAAAAGGTTAAATTTCAAAGTTGATATTTTTGCATAAAATGGGCATCGATTCGATGCAGCTCGTCACGGGGAGTCTAATAGTGGTCTTTATTTTGCGCTACGAGGTCTAGAATTGCTAAAAATTGAGTTTGAAAATTTGACGTCATCAATTTTAAACAGTTTTTTTCGCTATAACTTGGCCAAAAAAAGAGGTATCGATCTCAAATTTGGTATGTAGATAGAAGGCGGTAGGGACTATCACATATATTCCGTTTTTTCGAAATTCAAAAATCTTTTTGGATTTTTTGGCTATTATATTCAAAAAAATATTTTTTGATTTTTGGGGAACAAAATCCAAAAAATGCGAAAAACCGAAATGACAGTTTTGTAGCCCTTTAGATTCCACACCTTTCATGTCTGAAATATTTTTCTGTATCTCTAAAGCTGTAGGCCTGACAGCTCTTCCCGCGAAACCTTTTTTTGGTTCGAAAATGGCAAAAATGACGTCACTCTGACGTCATTAGCGGCCAACCTATCATAGCCTTTGGGAAAAATTTTTGGTCACCATGTGCGCTAGCTGCTCCCGGGAGGGTACTGAAAGTTTGGTGACGATCGGCGCAGCGGTTCTCGAGATATATTGAAAAAACTAAAGGGGGCCAAAAAATGCCCCCCCCCCCCACCGCCTGGAAGGTTAATGTGCTACAGACATTGCTCGCAAGTTTCGGTAATCACGCAAGCGTTTATGGCTATTTGTGTGCATTTTTTCGACGTAACATTTTTCAAGCAATTTTATTTTTATTTTATTTTTGAAACGAACCAAAGTTCGTCCTACATGTGGTTCAAACAGGCTTTGGTAATGAAACTTCAAGGTGATATAGCCATGAAGAATATTGGATGGAACAGTGGTGAATCAAATTCAAATTTATAATAATTTGAATTACGAAGAGCTGAGCCTCATCAATACTTCAAGCCATGCATGGCAAAATTCATGATGCAGAACAGTTCAGGAAATTGAATTTGGGTTGAATTTACGTTAATTTCGGTACCTATCTGGATATTCAATATTATTCTAGATTTCGGAGCCCGAGGGCCATGGTTTCAAACATCCTGTAGGTTATCAAAATAATTACAAAATTGTGTTGTGTGCTTTCGGCATAACTGTTAGTAATGGTGCCTGGTTGTGCTTTGATGTTGATGTAACTAGCTAGCATAGTTTGGCCGGAATTGAGGTCAGAGTGACGTCATGTCGGCCGATTTTGATGCAAAATATTGAATTACGGCAAACGTTCTCAAGAACTTAGTTTTAAAGCTAGATCCAAATTTTATGGTCCATTTTACACGTAGATTTCGAAAATAATATCGTCTGTGTTATTTGAGGTCATTTTCAGCTGAATTTACCGGAGGTCAGGTCAATTTTAGGTCAGAAAAGGTCAAATTTTGATCAGTGGACTTTGCATTAGTAGACTACAAATACACGTCGCTATCAAAATGCTATCTCGAAATTTCGAAATTTTGAAAATTCTGAAAAATATGTTTTTACGATAACAAAAAAAAAATATTTTTTTTTTTTCAAAAAGTTTTTAATTTTTCGCAAAAACCGGAATATATGTGATATAACACAAACTGATAAACTCCTCTAGCAAGTTTTACTCAAATATCTTCAAAAATAGCCAAGTTATATTTGCATTATTGTCAACATTTTACAATTATATGTTTTCAAAACCATTTTCAGTACGTTTTTGACATTGTGCAGCAATTTAAATGACACCATCGTGTTCTCGAGCTCAAACTACATCTGATAGGCACATTTTTTTTGTGTAGGGGGGGCTCGGGCCGGTCCCTTTGGCCTTTCGCAGCCACCCCTCTGATTGTTTTACTACTACTCTACTTGATGTCCGTGTTAGGCTGAGACGTCTCCCAGCCTGTGCCCGACGGCCACTCGGGCCACGAACATCCCAATGTCTAATTCTACTATTTTACGTTAAGTTACAATGCATCGTGGTACCAGTGAGAATCACTCCGCCATTTTGAGGCACACCGCGGTTGGTAGCGCGCCCTTATGGGTTTAGGAGTGAAGCTCCTGGCCATTGATGACTTTACTAATGTACCGATAAAGTTAGACTCCGCTCAATCACCGTTCTCCTCCGACTCATCCTGTTACCAAAAGCATCTGGTCAATTCAACGCCCCATTTATTGTTCATAATTTCGTGATGTGGTCATAACGGACTGCGCTAATTTGACGTTATCATTTTAGAAGCCTACCGCGAACGCAATCTACCCTAACAATACCCTAACGCCACGCATGCTAACCTAACCCTCCACCCGCTTGCTCCTACCTATCTATGGGATGTGCCTTGAGCCCGCACAGCATCCCTGCGTAGTCGGAACCTACCTTCGAGCCAGCTTACCAGCAGCGTGGATGAGGTCGGGTGCAGCGTTGCAGCCTGGTCGGCGTACAGGCACTGACCCCGTTCTCACTCCCCGCTGCGGTTATATACTCGCCCGAAGGTGGATAAGTCCTGTCACTCGGTCTGAGGCTAAAATCGATCGGGCGACAGTGACTTACGGTTCTGACTACGCTGACCTCGACGTGGTGTTTCTAAATGTCAAAAGGCGAGCGAAAACAAGAATACCGCGATTACGAATTTCTAGCTATAAACCAAAAGGCACATACCGCGATCCACCTTAACAAACATACCGCGACACACCTTACATAAATGCCCCCCTCTTTGGGCCTGGGGTTAAATCCCCTTACTTTGGGGCGGCTCGGCAATCCGTTTTTGTGTGTGTGTTTTTGTTTAGCGTCACGACTTCCTCTGCCGCGACGGCACCGCGACGGTTTCCTCTTCGGCGACGGTTCCGCGACGGTCACCTTCCGCAGCTTCTCCTTCGTCCACATGTCCCTTAACATCGTGCAGCGGCGTCCACTACTGCAGCATCTTGGCGTTTCCGCAGGATCGGCATCCCCGCGCGGTTTTGCAGCCTCATCATGTCCTGCAACACTGGCGCGACGGTGTCCTCTTCGGCGACGATGTGCGCGGCGCACCAGCCTCCACGGCATGTCGGGTGCGCGCGCCTCCACGGCGACGACCTTCGCGGCGCACCAGCCTCCACGGCATTGGTGGGTGCGCGCGCCTCCACGGTGACGACCTTCGCGGCGCACCAGCCTCCACGGCATTGGTGGGTGCGCGCGCCTCCACGGCGACGATGTGCGCGGCGCACCAGCCTCCACGGCATGGACGGGTGCGCGCGCCTTCACGGCTACGATTTGCGCGGCGCACCAGCCTCCACGGCATTTTGGGTGCGCGCGCCTCCACGGTGACGATGGCGCACCAGCCTCCAGGGCATTGGTGGGTACGCGCGCCTCCACGGCGACGATGTGCGCGGCGCACCAGCCACCACGGCATGTTGGGTGCGCGCGCCCCCACGGCGACGATGTGCGCGGCGCACCAGCCTCCACGGCATGTTGGGTGCGCGCGCCTCCACGGCGACGATGGCGCACCAGCCTCCACGGCATTGGTAGGTACGCGCGCCTCCACAGCGACGATGTGCGCGGCGCACCAGCCTCCACGGCATTGGTGGGTGCGCGCGCCTCCACGGCTACGATGTGCGCGGCGCACCAGCCACCACGGCATGTTGGGTGCGCGCGCCTCCACGGCGACGATGGCGCACCAGCCTCCACGGCATTGGTAGGTACGCGCGCCTCCACAGCGACGATGTGCGCGGCGCACCAGCCTCCACGGCATTGGTGGGTACGCGCGCCTCCACGGCGACGATGTGCGCGGCGCACCAGCCACCACGGCATGTTGGGTGCGCGCGCCCCCACGGCGACGATGTGCGCGGCGCACCAGCCTCCACGGCATTGGTGGGTGCGCGCGCCTCCACGGCTACGATGTGCGCGGCGCACCAGCCTCCACGGCATGTTGGGTGCGCGCGCCCCCACGGCGACGATGTTCGCGGCGCACCAGTGATCAAATAGCATTGTAGTGCGGCGCCTCGGCCACATCTTGCTCTGCAGTGGCGTCCGCCTACGCAGCCGCCTCGGCCCTTTTGCGTAGCATCCGTTTCTGCAGCGTCATCGTGTCCTGCAGCATGAGCTCTCTTTCCGCGCGGCATCAGCTTCTGCAGCGTTACCATTTGCGGTTCGCTGCGGCAGCTTGGCTTGCGGTACAGCAGCTCAGGATGCGACTTCGGCTTTGGCTCGGTTGCTTTGAGACTCCACATGGT